ACAAGCAAAGCAAAGCCAAATTAAGAAAACACATACACACACACACACACACACACACACACACACACACACACACACACGCACACATACACACACCAAAAGATATTTTAAAAAACTCACATAGGCACAGCCGCTTGCAGACATACAAAAGCTCGAGCGCATACTACATGTATTTTTGATTAAGTTAATCTATTTTTCTCGAAAACCAATGAGCACTAGGTTCACCGACCATAAACGATTGATAACATTTGAAACCTACATATTGTTGTCACAAATTAAAGGAAAATCACTCCAAAATCAAATTTTAATGAATCTGACACATTTTACAGCACAATGAACAATCTTAAGCAATTCTACCTAGGAAACTGTTCTTGCTCGCTCTTGTCGATTCGGATAATTTTTAACATTTATTAGCATGTCTTTTAAAACCTTCATTAATTTTACTCTTTGCATTCAAATTCTCCCTCACCTTCAAGTGATCGTTGATGTTGTTAGGATCACGGTTGACAAGATCGATCTCGGCCATGGCTATTGTTGGGCAATAAAGTTTCTGCTCTGTGCTGGTCTTAGATCGGAGCCGTGTACTGGAATGACTGACCTTTGGTCACTCTGCGGGCAAGCTTATGAACCCTGCCCGTATTTTCTTCTTGTCACCACGGGCTACAAGGGTTGGGTAGAACCACCCCATGTTGTCCTGTCCTATCGTTTTCTCCAACAAATCGGCAAGCTGCCCCCGTCATTAACGCTGAGAGCTTTCGTACTAATCCTCTTACTAGCGTTAACAGTGACGACATAGTACACAGAACCGGCATGATTGACAACAGCCCCATTGAGTCTCTACCTGATGCACAAAAACTATCCGGTCGGAGGCCGAATGATTAATTTAAAATGTTTTTTCGAGATTCTATTCTAGTATGTTCTGTGGTACTTGCAACATTATTAGGTCCTATAATAAATCACATGTTTAGTAACATTTCTTTTTTTGGTTTTAATATAGGTGATTTACTGTTTCGTAAATATTTTTAAAAATATAGGTGAATAATAGTTAAGTAAAATTTCTTTTTTAAATATAGCTAGGTGTTTTACGCCCCCATCAACACACTTTTAGATCATTTAGGGGGTGCACTTCGAGCTTTCCTGTCAAGGCCAACCCCAACTGAGAGGGAATATTGTTAACTAAAACATTTGAAATTAACATGAAGGTGTGAAAAAAATATGGTAACTTTAAAGGCATACGAATAATCTACCGCGATAGTCTTGTTTACCTGTTTGAAATCTTAACGTTTTGGTTGAGCTCAAAGGCCTGCGATATGAGATTTGATGGCGTCAAAGAAATAGGAAGACCAAGAAAAAGATGGACAATGTAGTCAAATAGATCCTCCAAAGGAAGAACATGATTTTATAGGTAACACACCTGGGGCACGCTCGACAATTTCATCTCTCCTCGAAACCTTACGATACAAGAGGACAGAAGAAGAAATGGAAAAAAGAGACACCCCCCCCCCATTATAAACCCCTTTACACCCCTAAGCCCCTCAACCCCATCCCAACCCCTAACCTCCCAATCCCCTCTCTTTTTACCCCCCCCCCCTTTCTCTCTGCCTTCCCTCGCTCTCTATGTTTCTCTTTCATTCATTGTCAAGTTCACACCCATACATTCTTCAAACACTTTTTTTTCTAAAAACAATCAGAACTGAATAAAGCGGCGCAATCTTAAGACAATTAAAGGTCGCAGACGTGTCTGGCAGCGACAGGTTTACGACCAGTGACACATGCGATACACCAGCGACTGTGACAGAGTCAAGATACGCCATATCCGAGGCCATCCCAGGGGCGATAACTGCCACACGCGATCGTTTTAGTTCCCAAGACCAGACGTTTGAGACATTCGCTATGGCGGCGGGCTGATTACCTGCCTACAGATGTGAACAGAGTAGAATACGTTTCTTTTTAAGAGCAAAGATTTATGGTGCCGAGAGCACGTAAAATTCAAGCCTTCCCTGAAAAACGTTCGATTATAAATAAGGTGGAGAAATCTTCCCCTTTCCTTGTTAAATTTATATTTTATTCCTGTCTTGTGTGGAATCTATTGCTTGAATATACGCACTTTAAAGATCGCCTTTTGATTTGTTCCAATAAATACTATGCATTGTACCGTATTTGCTTTTCTTGTTTCAGTGCAACTTTCAGCCCAGCAGCTGGTTTCACACCAACGTTTATGAGTAAATAAAAAGAGACTCTTCAAAAACATCGAACTGTAAACATTCTTCAGCTTAGAATACCCCCACCCATACACTCTCTCTCGATATTTCTCTCTATCACTCACCCCCCCCCCCCCCCCCCCACACTTTATTAGAGGTTGGTTTGTCTAAAGTCAATTGACACTAAAGTAAGAACGATCAGTGCATGAAGAGTTTTTTTTCTGACTTTTTTCTCCTCCAGTCTTACTGTAGGTGAGATAGAGTCCTAAAATCTTCTACAACAAATATTATTTTCTAAAAGAAATTTAAGGGTACCGCTTTCATGAGGCGCAAGTGATAATTGAAGGAGGAAGAAGAGAAATCGTGCAAGCCCGGCTCATCAACCAATGTTCTTTAATAATTCCTTGCCAAAACTAAAGAAACTGTTTAACAATAACAAAATGAAAAGCATGTGGCTCCTTTAAAAGTAAGAACAGTGCCCACAAAAGAATACATAACATGAAAGTAAAAAGCAGTGAATGTGTGAATTTAAGAAGATATCTAATTACCCACAATGTATATCAACACAAACAAGAATAACAGAACGTTAGGTACCTCAGCTTAAAACGTATTAAATCGGCCGAATCTCTCTCTCTCTCTCTCTCTCTCTCTCTCTCTCTCTCTCC